GCCCCATCTGTAAATGCCTGCTGAGGGAAGAAAGTGCCTGCCTGCAGCCTGCAAGTCAGGCTGGAGTTTCTCAGGCTGTGGGCATCATGTGCCCTGCTGGACCACTCCACGCAGATGTCTGTGAAGCGGCCATGGTGGTCCATGAGGGCCTATAGCATCATTGAAAAGTAACCCTTCCGATTGATGAAATGGGCTGCTTGATGCTCCGGGGCATGGATGGGAATGTGGGTCCCTTGAATTTGGGGAACCCCAGGGCAGCGCTGGAGTTTCTCAGGCTGTGGGCATCATGTGCCCTGCTGGACCACTCCACGCAGATGTCTGTGAAGCGGCCATGGTGGTCCATGAGGGCCTATAGCATCATTGAAAAGTAACCCTTCCGATTGATGAAATGGGCTGCTTGATGCTCCGGGGCATGGATGGGAATGTGGGTCCCTTGAATTTGGGGAACCCCAGGGCAGCAAAGCCAGCCACGGTTGCATCCACATCCCACAGGTGGATGACCCTCTTGAGCAGGATGTCATTGATGCCGCGGACAGCCTGCAGAAGGGCACACAGAAACACAGGGTATGACATCCCACAGGTGGATGACCCTCTTGAGCAGGATGTCATTGATGCCGCGGACAGCCTGCAGAAGGGCACACAGAAACACAGGGTATGCACCGAATGAGGCAGGGCAGGTTCATGAGCCCTTGGGGGGTGCCCGCCCCCGTGATGCCCTCTGCCCCCAAATACACCAGGACCCCCTCGCCCCAGAGGCCCCCCCAATCCTGTGTGAGGGAGGGATGGCATAAGCCCCTGGGTGACAGGGCTTCCCCCTGCCCCCTCCCCTGAGCCTGGAGTCTTCCCTTCCCCAGGCAGGCAGTGCAGTCCCTCCAGGGCATTTCTGCATCAAGACAGCACCCACTGTGGACCTTTCCACCCCGAACTGGTGTGCCACTGAGCGGTAGCTGTCCTGGGTGACCAACTTCCAGAGGGTGATGGCGACCCTCTTGTTCACGGGGATGGTGGGACGCAGCTGGTTGTCACATCTGAGGAGCACAGGGGCGAGCCAGGCCCACAGCTCCAGGAACGTCTGCTTCTGCACCCTGAAGTTCTGGAGCCACTGCTGGTCGTCCCATTGCTCCAGGCCCAGCCCGTCCCACCAGTCTGAACTGGTGTTGAGTCTCCAGTAACACCTCTCCATGGTCGGGTAGGGATGCCACAGCGATGCCACCGCATCCAGGGAGAGGGAGCCCAGAGGGAGCTCGGCGTCGAGCTCATGCAGCATGGAGCAGCATGGAGCAGCAGCTGCAGGCACGCCAAAATGGCCGTGTGGGGCCAGAGCAGGCACAGGGCCACCCCGCCTCCACGGCACAGTAAGCACAAGGCAAAAGTCACCAAAGGCACTAACTAGGGCACAAGCTGTGGTGTCCAATGAGGTCCCTACAGGAGATCCCAGACCCTATTTGTTCATTCCTCAGTTGCCAAAAAGAGCTATGTTGATAATCTTTACTCAAAAAAGGAACTAAACAGAAAACTTGATCGACTAAAATCTTCTATATCTATAATTAAATCACATTCTCATGGGTGAATGAAGCAACTGTTATTTATTTCTACCCCAGTAATAATTATTGACTTATTTTAAAAAACTGTCAAATTGTACAGATCTACGGTCAAAAAATTACTCAATTATAAAAATTCCAGTCATTATTCACCTTGATTCTGTAAAAGAAAGCATACAGAAGGGTTTTTGTTTGTTTTTTTTTTGTTTAAATCTTTATTTGAAATTGATATTATGATTTGTTCACTTTTTATACTACTCACACCTTTCCTTCCTATGCAGGAAAGTTAACATTAGGAGTGTTGTCTTTCAACGGGCAAATTCACCATACAAATTGATAGTACACCCAAAATATAATTTTTCTGAAAATTGCAGATCTGGAGGGAAAAAAAAAACCAATCAGGGATTTGAGGATATTTTCTTTCCGGCTATGCTTTATCAGTATTAATAGAGAATCTGTGGTTACATTTTGTCATCATTTTCAGCTGTACAACTCTTTAGTCCTCAATGGTTTTGTAAAAGAGAGCATAACTTGGTCTGGAAGCTGAAATTTAGGGTCCAGTCTTGCCCCTTTCATGTCACAATGGGAGTTTTGCCATTTACTTCAACAACACATCTGAATTCAGTACTTTTGACAATGCATAAGAAATAGAATCCAGCTCAACAACCCTGCAGTGCTAACAGAAGTATCCTTTTTTTTAAAGCAATTTGTAACAATAAATGAAGCTGATGAGACTCAAAGCTATACAGTTTGGTGCATGCAAGGTGACATACACACATTTTTATGTTATGGTCACAAGTCTGTTTATTAGAAAACTTATAGGGTTTCTTACATACAGTGTAGTGTTCCCTTTTCAGCATATATAGCTTACAAAACTGTCTATAAAACAGGGAGCAAACACCAAAGACAGTAGAGAATTGCAAAACTCAGTACAATATCTGTTCATAATAATTGTCCAATTGGCATTTTCACTCCTAATAAGTTTATCTAGTAGCTAAACTCTGCCCTGACATGTCTGAATTTAGTGGGGAGTCCTACCATATACAGCTGGGCAGAATTAGGCAGCAACCATTATAATTGCAAGCAGGCAACAGAGGGAGTAAAGCATGGGGCAACAATGAAGTTCTTGAATAGAGTTTAGAGAGGGGATTTTGGGGGAAACAATGACAACAGTGTTCTGCCTTTTCAATGCCTCAAATTCTGTTTGTAAAGGCATGATAAATGGCCATATCAGAGCAGAATTTGGCCCGTAGTATATTGTTAAAAATGCCAACCATCTGAGTCTATGAATTCCTTTTGAGGGAAAGTTTACAATAGGCCCAATTTTTGGCCACAAACTCCATATGGAAATCCTACATGTGTTCCTACAGATGGGTACATAAGTACACAGCAACACCAGTATTATGTTTAAATCTTTTGCACACATGGCTGATCAAATTGAAGCAGCCACTTTGACATGCTTGGTTCCATGCATACATTAGAGGATTTTTTTTATCATTCCTTTTATTCCCCATAAAAAGGACAATTGTATATTTTGTGCACTTAAAGAAGAATCCTACTATAAAGGCATTTATGGCACTAAATTGTTAAAACAGATAGAATATCTATTTATAAAAAGACAGATTTAGGACTCCAACAGTAATTGTTAGTTCTAATTACAGCTTTGTGAATATCCCCAAGGAAGAAAATATATCCTTAATTGTCAAAGCAATTAGAATGGCAGTTACTGCACCACAGATACAGCAACTGAATTGCAAATTGGGTCTACTTTATAAATAAATAAACTTTACTCTGGTTGCATGAAGTCCAATTTAAGATCGGGGAAATAATCTTTGTCACAGCTTGGATGGAGACTCATTTATTTAAAAAACAGCCTGTAGGGTGAACTGAATTAAAGTCTATAATATGGAAAATCCTAGTCCTTAAGAACTGTTTCCTGTGGGATACAAAAATGTTGAGTGTGAGTCAGCAAAATACGGAATACTGGGAGTTGGATATTTGTGCTCTTCTTACCTCTAGGTCTCAATCACAAAATTGGACCCAAGTAAGGAATAACCAAAAGTTATTGCCCCATGATAGCTATTAGGTGATCATTATGAAACAGGTCAATCAATAATTCTGCTACAAAGACCTTTTACATCTGCACTTGAAAGGGAATCCTCTGAACTGTCATTCATGTTAAAATTCGACACTTTCCAAAAAGGACTCAACAAACACTTGAACTATCTCACCCATTACCAAGATAGTTTCCCCAATTATCACCTCTAATACCATTAACTCACAAACATCCCACTCTCCCTACCTCTAATATCATCAATTCACAGACACTTACCAAATGTGATTTGTCCTTTTCATATGTGTTCACTTTTTTTTAATTGTATCCTTTGGTATATATGGTTGTGACTATTTTCTTCCACTATTTGATCTGAGGAAGTGGGTCTGGCCCACGAAAGCTCATCATCTAATAAACCATCTTGTTTGTCTTTAAAGTGCTACATTGTCCTGCATTTTGCGTCAATCAATAAGGAAGCTATTAATTTCAGTCCTCTCTGTGGAAAACAAATGTCCATATGAGTATTATTCACATGACTCTACAGGTTACTCTGAAGCTTTACCAATCATTTGTAATGCATTTTGAGATTCTCAGTTTGAATAGGGAGGCTGGGTTAGAGGGCAGTAGTAGAACACTGTAAGAGCCTATATTGACACACATCTTTTCTAAATGAATAATTTGTCCAATGTTGAACACAAATTAATCAAATAGTCAGTGGAGTTGTACTGCCAGCCCCCTGCCATCTTTGCAAACAATGCCAGGCCAGCCAGCATAAAAGAAAAACTACTAGTTGGTTAAGCCTGCTCATCTGTCTAAATGGAGATGAAAACACTTCCCCATGGTCTCGGAGGCGTTGTCCTTTGACCAATGTGACGGTAAGCGAGGACATATAAATACCCAGAATACTTCAAAGGGGCACTTCTGCACAGCCCTACAGCACAAACTATGGCAGAAAGCAATAGCAAAAAAGACACTGCTCAGAACCTGAAGTTGAAATTATTCCTTTCTGTGATTTGTGATATTTTCAAAGCTTGGAGAAACACCCATTCCTTTTGCTAATTCTGTCCTTTTTCATTTGACAAATCAATGTTTCCCACAATGATCTTGTTAACAAAACTGTAGAAATTAGGATGAGCCATTTTTAGTCTCTTGGTTGAGCATTGTAGATCTCTGCAGAAAGCACAAAACATTAGTTTCTTACATATGCATAGTGATCTGATATCTTGATACAAAGCATTGGCTATTGCAGAGCATAAAGGAGCTGTTTATTTCTTTGATAAATATCATATGTAACTCAGTTTAACTGTTTGATATTATACAGTCTAACTGCACTGAGTTAAACCAAATAATGTTGTAATGATGGAAATAAACAGGAAATGAAACAGACATCAAACAACAACAATGTTCCTTAAGGAGACAATAGGGAAGCTGTTAATTAGTAAATAACCCTTTCCTGAGTTCAGCAAGGCTGGCGATGTTTGTCCTTCTCAGAGCCAACCCTGGGATCAAAAGGTAATGAGAACATTTTTAAAATGATGGCCTAGGGAAAATGTGTGGAGTGAGTTTCCTGCAATTGCTGAGGTGGGAAGATGACCGCGTGCGCGCACACACACACAAAACTGCAGCAAGCAGGCACTCTGTATCTCCCAGGCAGAAATGGGGGCCACTGGGCAAAGGGGAACTTACACTGTAGTCTTTCCTTTTGAGACCCACATGTACAGGTCTTTGCTTGTTTTTACCTTTTGCTTTTCTTGCTATGTACTTTTAGGTGAATAAATAATGCTTGGTTTTGAAGAAGCTGTTCTGAGTCACTTCAATCAGTTGCTGTCAGTCTCCTAGAAGAAAAGGGCTTGCCAAACATATCTGTCCGGTTTACATAGTTGATAAACAAGAGGGCTGCAGCCCAGATATCCAGTCTGACGGGTGGAACCATGTAGTTTCACCTTGGGTAAGGCAAATATGATGAAATCTGTCCCTATAAGGGTGCACACAAGAAAAACTAGGAATCATTCTGCAACGATGACAGATTTTAAATAAAAATTACACTCCACAGAATTTTCAGCACCCAAAAAAATTCACTATAAAATCACATTTTGATCTTCAGCTGGCATTCTAAGTCGTGCTGGCAAGCAAAGAAAGACGGAAAAAGTGTTTATTTTATTTTGGAGACAACAAGCCAATAATCAAACAAAGAAGGATTCAGATGTACAAGGGCAATATTTGAACTGTTGTATCAGTGCCCCCTATAACAGATGCAACTCATTTTCAAAACCAGGAGGTTTTTAAAAATAAAAAAAAAAGTCTACATCATTCTTGCCGCAATTCATCTTTGTTTACTATAGGATTTCTCTCCCTTGAGTCATCTGCTCAGCATCCTCTCCTTCAAACTGCTGAGAAATAAACAAGCTGAAATTCTGCATAAATACAGAGGTAAGTGCTATAGGTTCTGTGAAGCAGCTTCCCGAGGTGAATATTCATTGCAATTATTCCTCTTTTTCTTGACAGGCATTTTGTGAAAGTTACATGCCGTATCCTTCCCAGTGCTATAGAAAATTCAAGATGTGAATATACTGTTCACAGTGGACTTGAGTCTCTGCTCCTTCACTCAGTTTGAAGCGGCTCTAACCTTAGTGCAGGAGCACCAGTGCAGTGCTGGTGGGATAGATGTCAGACCACATGACGGCGGTGGAGCAAGAGAAGCACAGAATTCCCCCCTTTCCCTCGTTGCTGACGGTTGTGAGCAAAATCTCTGACAGGTGCACAAGAAAGAGATGGGAGCGCTCAGTTAATCACAATCCACGCTCCTGAGAAATTTTACCCCATGTCTTAGAGAGACCATCTAGCTACGTAAACATAATGGAATCCACCTGAGATATAATCCTCTGCTCTGAAGAAACAGAACTTACACAGGCTACTGAAAGTAAGTTTTCAGAATAGATTTGACACATGATTTTTTTTTAAGCATTATATATCTGGGTGATTGCCCTACTTCCATTTTGCACAGACACTAACTTCACTGAATGAAGTGGAGCCTCACCTTGAGCAATGAAGTTCATGGGAGCACTCTTGTGATCAAAGGTCTTTTATTCCACCTGAGTTTTTTGCTACGTAAAGTGAGAGTGTAAGTAGTAGAACATTAATGATGAATCATTCAAGAAGAGCTGCTCCCTATGCTCTTGTTTTATTATATGGGACATGTTTCATCTGGCTCCAGAGACTTAGGATGTGCTTTTCCGTTCACATTTTGCTTCTATAAGTTTGATCAAATAGAGAAAAAGTGTCTCTGAAAGACAGATATTTCATGCACCTATATTTTTGTGGGACAGGATATTACCTGTAAAAACTTCACTGATTTCCCCAGCTGGACTGCAGCAGCTTGTAAAATTGTGAGCTTTCTTGTGTCTTGCAGCTGGGTGGCCAGAGAGAACATAATTACAATGGGTGCTGAAGCATTCACCTGCAGAATAGTATCAGAGATCAACCCCTGTATAGTTGAAGACTATCTGTTTAAACACAGAGAGCCCATTCTGAGCCTTATGTGCACATGCAATTTAAGTCCAGCCATTGTAACTGGATTCTTGGCCACTAGTTGGTGGAAAGAGCATGCATGTTTTGTAGGTAGACAGATTAATTCTTGCCGGCACTGCTGTACCTGTTACACTTCAGGAGATTCACCAGGAGAAGGAAAAGTCTTGAGTTTCTATCTCTCCTCCATCACAGCACTGTGGGGGGCGCAGCTGCAGTGGAGAGGGGCTGAATCAGCACACCACTAACCTCCACAGTCACATCCCCTTTCAGGCCATCACTGTCAATTTTTTAAGCAACTTATACCTTAAGGCAAGTTATGGTTACGGCATCTTGCAGAAATTCTGTCCCTCCCCCGGCTTGTTATGCGATTCACCGGGTTTATTGCCCTTCTTCCCTCTGGTGAGCCCAATATACCCTCCACCCGAATAAGCCAGCATCTGCCCCAGTCTGAACGGATCCACCATTAGTCCCTTTTACTTGTTCATGTTACAGGAATACCGTTGCCGCCCGCATCTTATCGGCCGCGGCTCCGGTTTACATCCAAAGTCGCCTGGACAGGATTAGCCAAGGGTGACAGGGTAAAGGGAACCCCGGGCCCATCCTCACTCCCGGGTCCCGGCCCAGGGCCCTAAGGTGGGGATCAAATCTCCCCTACCTGGCTGACAGGAGTGTTGCCTCTAAACACACCAGCCCGCGGGCTCCACGACCTCGCCCTGGGCCACTTCCTACCCGCCTCCTACAGCCCCCGTGCCTCTGTCCTCATTGTCTCCAGACCGCTCTGGATCTCCCACACCTGCACTTCTCCCCCAGGATCCTGCTCCGCCTCCCCCTTCCACTCTGCTGCCCTCCACCTTCTAAACTCCCCACCGTCCAGCTTTCCCCAGCGGCGGGGTTCCGACGGATCAGCGGTTCCGCGGTTGCCTGGCTGTTGGATAATGTCATCCACCCACACCAGTGCCGAACAGGCACAGCACCTCTGCTACTTCTCCTGCAGCCACAGCTGCCCCCGCAGTGCCAGCACCATGCCGGCTGGAGTGCAGGGCGCAACCTCCCCGTCACACATCCCCCCCCCCTTTAACCTGGCTGATTTCTTCTTCACTTTTCTCCAGGAAAGCCCTCGAAAAGAAGTCTGCGTTGTTGTGTGTTTTACCTCCCTGGTGCAGTACTTAGAATTTATAAGGCAGCAAAGACACGTACCACCTCATTACACGGGCGTTCATCTTCTTCATTGCGTGTAACCACTGGAGGGGTGCGTGGTTCATGACGAGTTGGAAGGGGTTACCTGAAAGATAATATCGTAGTATGTCTACCGTCCGTTTCACAGAGCCTCTTTCTCTAATGTCGAGTATTTTTGTTCACGCGGGAATAGTTTCCTACTAATATAAAGAACGGGATGTTCTTCTCCCCCAACCTCCTGTGATAAAACAGCCCCTAGTCCAACTTCTGAGGCATCTGTCTGAAATAGGAGTGTCCTTGAAAAGTCTGGTTGTATTAGTATGGGCGTGGGCGTTAATCGGTCCTTTAATGTCTGGAAAGCATGCTCCCTTTCCTCTATCCACCGCACCCTGTTAGGTTCTGCATTCTTAACCATGTCGGTGAGAGGGGCTGCTATGGCTGCAAAGCTGGGAATGAACCAGCGGTAATATTCCACCAGGCCCCAAAACTGTCTCACTTGCTTTTATGTTTCGGGGGCAGGGTAGTCCCGTAGAGCGGCCACCTTGTCTATCAAAGGTTTTAACTTCTCTTGTCCGACCGTATACCCTAAATGTCCCTCCCTCTGCTCAAACCAACACTTGCCTGCATTGGCAGAGAGCCCGGCATCCTGCAAGCTTGTCAGCACGGCTGCCACATGCTGGATGTGTTCAGCCCACGACCGACTGTAAATGACTATGTCATCAATATATGCTGCGGTGTAGCCATAGTGGGCTTGGAGCACCATGTCCATGAGTCTTTGGAAAGTCACGGCTGCGCCATGTAGGCAAAAGGGCATTGTAACAAACTGATATAGGCCAAATGGCATGTAGACAACCATCTTTTCTTTAGAGGAGTTAGGGGGATTTGCCAATAGCCCTTCGTGAGGTCCAGAGTTGAAATGTATTGGGCTTTACTTAGGCGGTCTAACAGCTCGTCTACCGGGGGCATCAAATAGGCATCGAACCGGGATACAGCATTCACCTTCCTGAAATCTATATAAAACCTCACTATCCTATTCGGTTTGGGTACTAGAACTATCGGGCTGCGCCACTCGCTCCGCAGTTCTTCGACCACCCCCCACTTCAACATACATTGTAACTCCTCCCATGCTGTTCCCACATCTTCCTGGGGAGGGGGCCTACTGGGTCGCATACCTTTTTTTCCAGGCGTTGTTGCTATGTGGTGGTATGCTAAGGTTGTCCTCCCAGGATGTTTAGATAGGACCGCTGTGAAGTTTTATAGTAGCTGGCGTAATTCTTTTTGCTGTGAGGGGCGTAGATCCTCCCCCATCACAGCAGGCTGAGAGCCCTGTAGACTGCTCCCCCATGGCCCCAACTCTGGTTTGGGTGGGCAGGGATTGATTACCATTGCCTCTCATGGTGTCCACTTCTTTAGAAGATTAATATGGTAAATCTGGGTTTTTCACCAATGCCCTGGCATACGCTCCTCATAGTCTACGTCCCCCACGCGGCATAAAACCTCGTACAGCCCCTGCCATTTTGCTAAAAGATTTGACTCCTGGGATGGGAGCAAGAGCAAGACTCGGTCCCTGGGCTCAAAAACCCTTAGGCGAGCCCCTTTATTATAGTGCAGTGCCTGCCTTTCCTGAGCTTGGAGAAAGTTTGTCCTGGCGAACTCTCCCAGGCGCTTCAGTTTTTCCCGAAGGGTTAGTATATAGTGGACCGCCCCCTTTACCATCGTGGGTTGTTCTTCCCACTCCTCCTTTATCAGGTCCAAGACCCAGCGGGGTTGACAGCCATATACCAGTTCAAAAGGGGAGAACCCCGTAGATGACTGTGGTACCTCCCGTACCACGAATAAGTGGTGATTTCAGCGGAGACTGAGGCTTTGAAAATGCTCAAGAAATGACTTCTCATGGTCCCTGTTTACAACATTAATTGGAGTTGCCAGTTATGTAACTACAGTAGAACCTTGGGGCTATGAACATCTTGGAAAGGGAGGTTGTTCGTAACTCTCAACAAAACATGAATGTTATCCTTTCGAAAGTTTATAGCTGAAAATTGACTCAACATAGCTTTGAAACTTTACTGTGCAGAAGAAAAATGTTGCTTTTAACTATTTTAATGTAAATGAAACATGCTCAGAAACAGTATTCTTTAAAAAAAACAACCCTTATAACTTGCACTTTATTTTTTCAGTAGTTTATGTATAACACAATTGTGTATTTGCTATTTTGGGGGGAGGGGAGTGTCTCTGCTGCTGCCTAATTGCATACAGGCAGTCCCCGACTTACGCGGATCCGACTGATTCCAGGAAGCTGGGGGCAGAGCAACTCTGCCTCCGGCTTCCTGTAGTCAGCCCCTGGTCAGTTTCAGTGGCAGCAGCTGAATCTGGAGCCAGTTCCGACTTACATACAAATTCAACTTAAGAACAAACCTATAGTCCCTATCTTGTATGTAACCCGGGGACTGCCTGTACTTTTGGTTCCAAATGGGGAGGGGACAACAGTTGATCAATCAGTTCGTAACTCTGGTGTTCATAAACCCAAGGTTTTACTGTACATCACTCTCCATGGACTTGATGTGCATAATATATCACACACACACACACACACACGCAAAAAAAGACTTAACTGATGCATAGATGTACAAGGCTTAAGATGTATAAAGCAAGTATCTAATGAGCTAGCAATCACAGCTATAACAAGAGGGAAGAAAACAAGGATACCAGTGATTTAGAAAAAAAAAATTAGGTTTAGGAAATATGAACAAAGTGTTATGTATGTTTTAAACTCTATGTGGCAGCTTTAGAACGAAAGAATTTCTGTAGCAATACAGTACTAGTACCTCTGAAGCCCTAAAACTTTTCTTGAAGCCACTAATGCAACAAAAAATAGGGAGACAGACATTTACAAATTGAATCTTTCCACAAAGAAGTCTGCTTCAGCGAGCATTTTGAGATGGATCGAGGCATGCAGGAATTCTGAAAGGGTTAATCTCACTTTACTATGTTGCCAGCGCAAGCAAGATTCTCCACAAATTGCCCTAGTTCACCTCATGACAAAGTACATAGAGATTGTAGGACGATTAACAGTCATTCAAATGTAACTGAAATACAAACTAAGATAGAGCTCAAATGGAAATAAATGGTATCCAGTCAGCATTGTGAGCTAGCTACAAAGCAGGAACTAAGAGAAAGGTGGTTCCTGGAAAATTGTTCCAGCATACCCAGCTATGCTCAGACGTGCACTCCATCGCTTTATCTTGATTTATTTAGAGATCTATGTTGTGCCAATCCTATGCTCTACATGCTTTAATGGTTAATCATTCCAGGTTCTCTCCTACTGTTGCAAGGAGAAGTAAATTCCAAAGTCCAGGATAGCAAACAAAATATTGCTTTCCCAGCTTCCTTTAAAACCAATTGTTAGCTCAAGTGCATCCTCTCATTATACATGTGTTAGTATTGTTAGATAGGCTTTAGAGAGAGTGTGTGTGTTATGGAAGAAAGAATACTAAAACAGACCTTTCCCAGTTACAAAGAATAAAGAGCTATTAAATCAGAACTTTCACCCAAGCATCCTTATTATTATGGCTGACCCTAAGTGCCAAGCCATCAGTTAGAGATAAGGTTAAAAGACATCCCCTCCTCTCCCCCCACACACCTGCAAAGTTTGAATAATAAGCTGTTTTTCTTTAAAACGTGTGCTACGCTGCACACCACAGCCATAATAAATGGTGTCAGAAATGGTTTCCTTACCAAAGAGCAATTGCTGCTGACTGTTCTCAAGGTTAGCAGAAATGCAAACATGCATTGTTACCTCCTAGAGCCTAATACTCTAACTTTCATTAGTGACTTAATTTCCTGCAACCGACTGAAGTTTCATACCATTGTATTTCTTACAAATAAAAATTCCAGTTTCAAGTTTTTCCAGTTACTGCTCCTAATGCCTGCTATTCTCTGGTTATGACAGTTACAAATCAAGTAGCCACCACCCTCAGCCACAGGGCTCCAGCCCCTGCCGCCTGAGCACCCGCTGTCCCGAACCCTGGGGCCACCCAAGCAGCCACCGCTTCCAATCACGCAGCCTCTCCAGCTAGGCTGCATCCCGCCCGCCATAGCAGCAATCGGGGCTTGCGAGGCTGGGATAGCCTCACTTCACACATCCCAGCTCCAGCTGGAGCAAAGCGGTAGCTGCACATAGCCCATTCCAGTGAGGCTGTTCCAACTGGCCACCCGCATCCACCTTACACACCAGCTCCCCAACCTCTCAGCAACTTGAACTGCCACCTGCCTGACCTCTTGGCATCCTGAGCTGCCATCTCCCCACCTCACGTGCCCCAGCTACAGCTGGAGCCAAAGGGCAGCTGCACACCACCACCATGACTCACCTTCCATTCCAGCAGGAAGGTGAGTGCTACTGCGCAGCTCTGAAAATGAGGTGGGCGGGCACAGCCTAGAGGGAACCATTCTGAGTTTTATGCATCAAAACCAGTCCTTCAAACTCCAGTCGGAAACAGATTTCAGTGGGCACATTTCAATGCATTAGCGCACTGTGTTTTCTATAAGAAGCATCACTTTATAATGGCAGCTACCATCTTGTACCAGTTTAAACTTCATAAAATCATAGAATACTAGACCTGGAAGGGACCTCAAGAGGTCATCAAGTCCAGTCCCCTGCCCTCATGGCAGGACCAAGCACTGTCTACATCATCCCTGATAGATGCCTGTCTAACCTACTCTTAAATATCTCCAGATAGGGAGATTTCACAACCTTCCTAGGCAATTTATTCCAATGTTTATCCACCACGACAGGAAGTTTTTCCTAATGTCCAACCTAAACTTCCCTTGCTGCAGTTTAAGCCCATTGCTTCTTGTCTTATTAGAGGCCAAAGAGAACAATTCCCCTCCCCCACTTCCTGTGACACCCTTTTAGATACCTGAAAACTGCTATCACATCACCTCTTTTCCAAAATAAGCAATCTTTTCAGTCTTCCCTCATAGCTCAAGTTTTCTATACCTTTAATCATTTTTGTTGCTCTTCTTTGGACCTTCTCCAATTTCTCCACATCTTTCTTGAAATGTGGTACCCAGAACTGGACACAACAATTCTAATCAGCACGGAGTGGGGCGGATGAATGACTTCTCGTGTCTTGCTCACAACACTCCAGTTAATGCATCCCAGAATCATGTTTACTTTTTTTTGCCACAGTGTCACACTGTTGACTCATATTTAGCTTGTGGATGCAAGATGTAGCTTCATGTACAATTACTTTTTCTAAGGTGCAAGGATGGAAAAGATATGGATGTCCAACAAAGTCCACACCCTTCTTGGGAGGCACAGGGGAAAAAAGAAGATACTTGACCACACATATTACCTGATCACCCAGGAGCAGCAAAGGACCTCAGTGGTGAACCTGAGTAACAACTGGCAGATGCATGACACCACTCAGAATGATAGGATCTCCCATATCTAGCAACATAACCTTGATTGTGTGGGCTGATTTATTTCTCTTTGGGAAATCTCATCATATATAATGAGATGCCAGAAGCTCTTTCAGTCCTAAACCAACATAGAAACTTCCCAAGCATTCATAGCTAAATTGTGATTCTTCCTTCCATAGTAACAGTTCACCCAGTCCTACACATTTTAAGGCACTGGCCTAGGTAACATTGCTCATTAGATTGTATGCTCTTCAGGGCAAAAACTAAGTAATGCCATGTCTGTATAGCACTTAAAAAAACAGTTTATCCTTACACAATTTTTTAATATTTAATTTAATTTAATTCTTTTAAATGTTTGAAAATATTCACTATAGTGCACTCGAAACAGAAGGTTGGCAAACAGATCTAGGTGATAGAGGGAACAGAAATATTTGTCTATGTTAATTTAGCACATTTTAAACTAGTCCGATGTCTTAAATAACAACAGTAGCACACTTACCACTTATACTCCAAACAAACATTTAACCCAGCCATTGTGAGGAAGTATTTCTGCAAACATGTTTGCGTTCATTTAGCTTCTTGCTTATCACGTAGTTAAGAAGGAATGGGTTTTAGTCTGCACTGATAAATGGCTTTATACATTTGTTTTGCTCTTCATTTTCGGTTAGTTTGTTGGCTTTGTGTGGGCACTCTGCAAAGTAAAAGAGGGACCTTTAAAGGAGAGAACGGTTCAAGCTGCAAAAGCCCCACAGCAAGCAAATACTGCAAGAGATCCTGGGTTCAAATCCTAGGCACTCTGTCCAGTAGACTACATCTATCATATATAGACCTAAACATACAGGGTTAAAGCAACTTAGGCATTGCAATTCTATGCAAACAAAATACATTAAGTCCATAATTAAGGACGATGGATAGAGGATTCCCACCTATCCAACATCATCAGTGAGATATTCAGGATCTCCTTTATTGTCAACATCAAGTGCCCGGGCCCACCAGTGAGCAGTGTCAGCTCCTGAGTAAGCCAGGGAGGGAAGAGGGCTTCAAAATGATGTCTCCATGGACTCAGACAGGCAGACCAACACGGAAACCTTCCAGGATGGCCAAATACCTGGATTCCAAGGAGTTACTCTTTTTCCATTCTTATTGAACTAGAGAGAGAAAAGTTATCAGTGTAAATACCACTTCCACCAATACATGGTGTTTATTGAAAAGATAAAGATACAAGTTATGTCATCACATTTCAATATCTGATCTGAGGGGTTTAGCAGGAACTTCAGTCACTCCTGTGTCTTAAAGAAAGAGAAACATTACATAGGAAAGGATGGAGGCAACTCAGAAAGGAACAGTGGAGTAGACTGGAAAGAACAAGGGAAGACATTATTCATCACACGTGCAGCTTTTTATATTCCCCTACATTTTTGCCGCAGAGAAACTGTCATGGCTTCTGGACATAAGAGAGACCCTATGTGGTAATATTTTGAAGAAATTCATTCCCTGGGTAAAAAAAGGAAAATGTGTCAAGTGTAAGAAGTGCAATAAGAAAATTCAGGGCCTCGTTGCAAGAATGAATCACAAGGAAAACTGCTTATTGGGAGAAAGTGTTGTAGATGAAGATGTGAATATGGCTGAGTGGATCAACTGGTTTAAAACTTAAATAATTCACTTTGCAATGCATCTTTCCTCAAGACTCCCTTTTTATGCTTTTTAGTACAAGTGTGATTTGATTAGTACATTTGTAAGCCGTTTCCCTGTTGGGTGTTGTTAGGGGGGGAAAAGATTAGTTTAGCTAATCCTTTTGGCTTGTTTTAATTAGTTAACTAGGTTTAGAATCTATCGCCCAAGAACACAGTACAGAAAGCTGCAGTAAGAAATCTAGAGTTGCCACTGAGTGTCATTTTCTTATTTTATATCACATAATATATGTCCCTTATTTGGGAATATCATGGCCACAGACCATAATGGTGATGCCATACATCTATTCCCTATTTTACTTCAGCATAACTCAGCTTTTCCAAGGGAACCCCATTCTATACTTGTTTTCTCAAAAACACAGAAGTGCCAATGAGTTAACTGAGGCTAACTCCAAAATTAAATGTACTCTAAGCATAGCTAGTCTTAGCTTTTTTGCTAACTTGATTTAAATAATTTTTGTGTGTGTGATTTAAATCAGTCCACCCTGATTTAAAGCCAAGAGGTGGGAGCTTGTGACTGTTATTTAAACAAGTCCACTCCCAAATCGTCATAGCACAGCAGCACCAAGACAACGCCCAGTACTGCTGCTTGCAATATATCCGAGTTTGCCATTTCAACAAATACTGAGCAATAAGTTAAGTTTCTCAGAGGATTAATTCAAGGAGACAATTGGAGATGGGAGGGAAGGGGTGACAGACAACCATGGAGGTGCTTCACATAACCTTTACATGCGAAGCATAATCTGAAACATTTTAATTTAAAGGCAGAAGAAACCTCATTACACGGGTGGGGAACCTGTAGCCCCTGGCTTGCTTGTATCCAGTCTCTCAAGTTCGGGGCTCCTTACCCCCAGCATTGGGGAGCCTGCACTCACACTCCAGCCCCCTCTGCCATTACTTCACTGTGGGGCTGGAGCACACAAAATCTACTTGCCTGGGGGTCAGTAGCCCCCAACCCAAAAAAGGTTCCTCACCTCTGCCTTATTAGATAAAAATGCCATGAAAATGTGTTTGTCATATGTTCTGGAACACTGTCTTTTGGTTAACATCTTTCATAAAGTTACAGTGTGCATGGGTAGGTTTAAATATGTGATAAATACATTCACATCAGTCAGGCAAGACACATTTTTATTTGAGTATCCAAGATCAACCGGAGACAACAAAACTTGAGCATGGGACTGCTCCCATTGAAGTCAATAGGAACAGGATTAGATTTCAAGCCTGAAAGCTGATACCACCAGTTTATTTGATGGGGCTGCAGAACAAGAGGACTATTCTATTTTATGTGAACAAGATTAGGGCACAGGAGGAGGAAGAGCCCTTGTTGTTTCTTTGGGAATTACAGAGTGCTCTTTTTTTCTCTTGGTGTTATTTTGACTCTCTGTACCTGCTCAGCAGCCTCCAAGCCTTCTGAAGCTACAGCAATTTCAGTCATCATTAGTCCCAAACAAAGCTTTTGCAGTAATTAATAAGTAGAATTATTTGCATGGAAGTCCAGGTATTGCATTACTTAGAAGAAGCCATTTGCATGTATTTGAAACTGGTTTGACTACAGTTGAGTAAGTTCTAAAACGGCCTTTAGTTAAGCATTTATGCTTAAGATTTTACTGACATAGCTAATGGTATCAGTCATCAAAAAGAGGAAGCACTAGCAGAGGTAAGTAACTAATATGCACAGGGCTAAGGATATCCTCCAGTTGAGAGAACCGCCCAGCTAAGCTTTGGAATGATGACTAGGACTTAAAGAAATCAATTCTGAAAGTGCTACCATTGTTTATTTTCTGGGCTGAGCCAGCGCAGTAAAAGCAGAAGTTATGGAACTACGTCTATATCATAGTCACGTGGGAGACAAATGCAAACAGTTCTAGCCATAGAAGTATTGTACACGTCAACCAAAAAGTTTGCAAGGAAGTTGAAATCGATGTGCCATTCTACTGGTTTCTAGAAAAACTCAAACTTCATAAATTAGAAGGTATAAGTCTGAATAGAAAAATAATTTACAAAACTATTTAAATAATTTCCCAACCATATGCAGCTCAACGCTTCACTTTCCCAAACAAGAAGAACATATTTGGGGGTATCATAGACAAGGATGATTCACAAATGTCGAGACCTTAGAATCATAGTGTATGGCTTTCCAATTATTCTAATACAGGTAATCCTTGAAGCCTAAGAACTCATATCAAATTTAATGGAAGCAGTAAATCATTTTGGACTTGCTGACCCAGAACCCCAGACCTTTTCAACATTTCAGAGTCAAATCACTAATAAAACTTAGAGAAACTACACATCAAGATTCTAAAGCCTCAGAACTTCATTCACTGTTCAGTTTCAATGTAGTAAGCCAGGTTCAGCTCAATTCATTACCATCATTTACATATAACAAAAGTAACACACTCAGCATTTACATTGGAGAGGTGGGGGAAACCAATCTGTAAAGAGACAAGAGCAGAGCTGGCAGGAAATAACGGGGAGGAGGGGGTTACACTCTCGTCCCTATGCCCTATCTGCAGAACCACAGGGTGTACAGTCAGCTGGATGTTATTGAAGAATAAATTTGTATCTTGTCCTGGGAAACAAACCTCTATGCATCAATCACCTGTTACCTTTACTCTTATGCGATTTGACAGGTAAAACCAAGAGACTAGAGGGCAGGGCAATTATCTGCCTTAGGAAAGGAACTCAAGCAGGATGCTAGCTTATACGTCAAAGCAGCACACTCTAAAATAGAAAAGGGCCAAGTGTTCAGCCTTCCCAAGATTTCTAGACACACTTAAGTCTTTCCTCCCCACCCCGCCCTCGAGCCAGCTTGATAAAAGAGATAACACCCTTCCTCCTAGATAGGAATGACAACTCTTTGTGGCTCTTACAGTGTTCATTTAGTGTCTCCATTTGAAGGCGTGTGTTTTTCTTTTCCAGGTGGCAGTGACTCCAAAACAAGACTCTCCTTTCTCTTCTCCCAGCTACTGCTTTATATCTCCCAACCTCTAGAAAGCAGCTCTATGCTGCCATGAATATTCCCTTCAGACACCACCTGCTGATCAGCTAGGCTGGCTGCTAGACTGCAAGCGGCCTGAACATCAGCTGTCTGTTTCCTTCTGCAATCCCAGCAGCTGCTGCACATGACAGGAATTTTACCCCCTGCCCGCCAGGGTTCACAAAGAGTTCATCTATCTTACCTCAATAAGGCTTTGAAATCTGATAATCATGTATCTGGTACCAGAAAACAGGAAAAATTCCCCCTTTCCCCAAATTCTCATTTTAGATCTTTCAGTCACTAGTTTCTCTAAATAACTATAATCTTACCTGTGACGAGGACTTCTTAATAATTCAAAAGCATTTTATGGACAGTGGATGAGATCGTAGCTCCCCACTCTAATAGCACCAAGCAAACCAAAGCTTATCTGACAATATGGAAATTCCAGTTGCACAAAAGCAACTTCCACGATATAAACAAGTGTAGCAGCTGTACCCTCCTCCCCACAGC